TGGGGTTAGCGGCGGGGAGTGCAGCCGGTGCCTGCGCTAGCCGAGAACCGGCCCGGCTTCCGCCGCTCGGCGGTGGGGCTGGCGCGCCTGACTCACCAGGGAGTGGCCTGCTCTGCGGAGCGGCCGCACCGCGCTGCCGTCGGCCGGCCATGTGGCGGCCCCAGGTCGGCAACCGCGCCGCCTACCCGCTCGGTCAGCGTCACCTGTCAGCTAGCGGCAGGCTCAGCACGAACCCTCAGTCTCGCTCCCTCGATGAAGCTGCCACTGGCAGGCATCATCAGACAATGAATCGAGATGAGCCATCGGGACTCCGGCCTTCTCGACTGACGAAAATGCCGGGTGGCTCACAGACGAGCAATGCTTACTCTGGTTTGTGCCGGTTTGGTGGCGGCCGCTGAGGATAGATTTGACTGATCTCGGTCCGCTCCAGTGGGCTGTGCGGCTCAGCTCGGTCCGTTCTGGTCCACTGTGCGGCTTATGCTAGCCACAAATGTCCCGCGAGACGTCCAATGCTCAGCACACGACCAACGGCCCCGCGAGCCGGACGGTCAGGTAAAGCACGGGCGTGGGCTCGGCGGTGAAAGAGGCATGTAAAGTCATGACGACCACCTCAAAGGTGCGCCAAAAATCGGTGCCTGTGCCCCATAACTGCACCCGGACCACGACTGGAATTCGATGCGCCACAATTCCCAGCGCGGTATCGTGCCGCTGACCCGGCTGGTGAACCGGTGACCCTGCAGTCAACCTTTGACCCGGGTCCGGCCGGCGGGCCGGAGCGGCTGACCTCTGAGCGCTCACGTCCGGCTCCTTGTTTGGGGCGTCGGTCGAGCCGGGAGCGGCTGAGTCAGAACACCGCGCGCCGACGACAAAAAGCGGCAGTGCGATTGGCGCAGATAGCGTGACGAAACGCGTCACGTGCCCGCCTCCATCCCGGGATTATTTCCGCGCCGCGTCGGCGCGGCCGATGCCTGACTTGGGACCACGGCTTCCTTCATTGCACAGTCACGATAGGTGGATTCGGTGCGGGAAACAAGACCTAAGCGAAAAAGGTCGACGGCGCTGGCTCGTTCGGGCGGATCCAGCAGAGATGGCCGCCGGCCTGCAGCCGCATTGCGTCGTCGCACATCTGGCGGGGGGGGGGGGGGAAGGGGGGAGAATGCGTCTGGCGAGAGATCGCACGCGTCGCAAGGCGGGCCGAAACCTCCCGCTGAGGCTGGCGGGGACTTGGGTGGGCCGACCCTCCCTCCGGAGCCAGTGGTGGCTTGGGTAGGCCGACCCTCCCTCCGGAGCCGGCGGTGGCTTGGGTAGGCCGACTCTCCCTCCGGAGCCGGCGGTGGTTCGGGTAGGCCGACCCTCCCTCCGGAGCCGGCGGTGGCTTGGGTAGGCCGACCCTCTCTCCGGAGCCGGCGGTGGCTTGGGTAGGCCGACTCTCCCTCCGGAGCCGGCGGTGGCTTGGGTAGGCCGACTCTCCCTCCAGAGCCAGTGGTGGCTTGGGTAGGCCGATCCTCCTTCCGGAGCCGGCGGTGGCTTGGGTAGGCCGATCCTCTCTCCGGAGCCGGCGGTGGCTTGGGTAAGCCGACCCTCCCTCCGGAGCCGGCGGTGGCTTGGGTAGGTCGACCCTCCCTCCGGAGCCAGTGGTGGCTTGGGTGGGCCGACCCTCCCTCCGGAGCCGGCGGTGGCTTGGGTAGGCCGACCCTCCCTCCGGAGCCGGCGGTGGCTTGGGTAGGCCGATCCTCCCTCCGGAGCCGGCGGTGGCTTGGGTAGGCCGACCCTCCCTCCGGAGCCAGTGGTGGTTCGGGTGGGCCGATCCTCCCTCTGGAATGGGCGTTAGCATTGGTAGGCTGTTAGCGACAGAGAGGAGGGGAGACACTCCTGCGAGAGTCTCAGCGGGGGGAGATGTGCCAGCCGGCGGCCTGTTTGTTTTTGCCGGGGTGCCGGCTTCCCAGGGCTGGGTGGTGTTTCCGCACAGTATTAGCACAGTCAGTGGCGCGGCTACGGAGGGGGGGGGGGAGGGCATGGACCTTTAGCCCACCTCCCCACCTCCCCACCCCCATCCCTCCCCCCCCCCCCCCCCCACCCTCGTCTATTTCGAACACAGCTTCTTATCACGACACTACTGAATATATTGCCGCAATCTGGTGATCGGGAGCACTTCCTTGGTTTTAGATCTTACAGTCTCCACCCAGTCACTTTCTGTGTGACTTTCTAAAATTGATTAAGTGGTTGAGCCATTAAAATCAACTTAACCTGCTCCCAAACCCTGATTTCTCCTCGGATTTTGACCACTTTGATTTGCGCCCCTGATGCCAATAGTTGATTTGTTAAATTGGCGCTTTCGAAATTGTGTTGGGTTTGAGGAATGGCTGCCCATTTGAAGCCGATGTGACCGTGATGATATCTGATGGTGTTGATTATTATTATGATGGTGACGTTGATAGTGATGCGTTTAAGTACCTGGTGTATCAGCACCTGCTGCGTTTCATTGGTTCATTATTCCCTTTTTGCTCATGTGCATTGGGAAAGGATTCGGAAGAACATTGGATGGGGTTGGTCAGCATGTGGGGGAAGGACTCAGGCCCCCGAGAGTATAGTGTGACAACCCGACACCACCGTGAACAGCGAAATGTAGAGCCCAACAGCCATAAATAAGTAACAGCACCAGCGAATGGCGACGTGAGTGCGTACGGTACGCGGCTGAAGCATTGTTTAAAGACACCCGGGCAAACCCCACATCGATAGCTCACTGATACGGTAGGCACGGCACCTACTAGCGTTGTGAGGTGAGGTGAGGTGGAGGTCAGCTGCCAAGCCAAGCACAGTTGAGGTCAACTGCCAAGCCAAGCGGAGTTGAGGTCAGCTGCCAAGCCAAGCAGGGTTGAGGTCAGCTGCCAAGCCAAGCAGAGCTGTGCCGAGCCGAGCCGAGCCGAGCCGAGCCGAGCCGAGCTGAACCAGCTGGCGAACCTGGCTTGATGGAGCAATACTGAGTTGGACTAGAACGGGTCCATCCCAACTAATGAGCTGAGGCTAGTGACGGTGCGTTCAACTGGACCGAGCGCTTTGTGACCTTCAGAAGATCGAGAGGCAGGCGTTGGCGGCGAGCCGCATCCCGCTCCGACTCACATTCCTTTGTTGTAAACTGCGGCGCATGGTGATGCAATGCCTATTGCCCATCGACTACCGAGTGAACCGGAGCCTGAAAGAGTTGTCAGCTGCTTTGCTTGTACGCGCAAACATGGGCGCCGCAACCTCTCAGAGCCGCAATCGACATCGCTACTCGTCAACTCGCGAATGACTGATATCGCTCCGGGTTGATCCAGCTGCGGTGATTCGGCTGCATTGGTCGCCCTGATGGTGTTGCGCCCGAGCGAACGCTGTGTCCGAGTCGTGTGAGAGGAGCGAACTCGGGAGCGGTCGATTGGTAGACTCCACACGTGCATTCCCGACACAGGAAGGTGGCAGTGCCGACATGGCGCCCACAGCCCGACATCAGCACACAGCGTCAGCGGCAGCGGCGCGGGGCTGCCGCGTCTCGGCCGGCGGTTGGTCGAGCTTTGGACCTTGATCCAAGCACGCCATTGACAGCATTGTCTGCTGTGCAGCAGTGCGAACAAAGGATCGGGCTTTGCCGGACGGTTCTTTGGCGTGATCTCGGAATTCGTGCCACAAGAGCTAAAGGAGGGGAGGGGGGGGGGGGGGGAGACGGCGTGCCGGTGCTATGGAATGTGGAATACTGTTCGCGCCAGCTGAGATCTCGCGAGCCGGGCTGGCTGATGTAGCCAAAAATGGTAAAAGTGAGGTGTAAAGACAAAGAGGGAGATCACATTCCCTTTGATACGCCGTTAAAGGGTATGTTTCACACCTGTGTGGGGTTTTGAACTGAAATAGCTTATCTTGAAGACCTTTCAGTGCTGTTCACCACCCTGCCCTTCTTAAGACTTAAGGCCGTCTGGTTTCTGAGCTTCATGCCCGCGAAAATGGCGCAAGGTGTATCGGAGAGGGCATTTCAAAATCACCTTAGCATTTATAACGTCATAATAACGTCATTTAAATCCTGCCATTCCACAAGCCATGCGGCGATCAATGCCGAGAAAAATGTAACTGTCGATACGTTCATATCTGGCGTTCGTGGTTGCGGTTTCCAGATATAGCAGTGGCCAATTGGCTCTCAATTAGTGTTTTGCGAGGTTCGTTGACGTTAACAAACTGTGACGCATTGAGGAGCATATTTACTAAACTGAAAATTGTGCTGTCTAGAGCAGCCTTTCCGCTTAAAAAGTAGGCCGATATTTAAAAATGAGCTTGTTTCATCATGTATGATGTTTTTTCAGTATCTTCAGACTTGAAACATTTCCCCTTAAGTGTCGGGAAAATGTCGGGAGAATTCATCTGATGTGGTATGCTTGAAGCATCCCACGCATGCAGGTCCATCAGCAATGAGTCAACACGGCTATGCGGAATTACGCACTCCTCTGCGTGACCCATGCTGCGTTGTCAATATTTGCGGTTTCTTCTGATTGCAAAACTATAGGCGAACTCATGCGGAACACCGCAAATCTAGTATACCTAGATTAGTAAGATATACCTAGATAGAGTAAGCTGCATTCCGGGGAGACATCATCAGCGTACGTACCCCATTCTAAGCTCATTCAGTCACTTTGTTGGCTGTCTTCGTCGTCTAAAGTTTCCCCGTTGGCCATCCATCTGCCAGCATTGTCAAGCGCTGCCAAAAGATGCTTGTTTTGGCAGCGCTTGCCTGCCGCGACGTTACACCTGTTGGCATGCCACAGGCGCACGTCAGCCGATAGCGATGGCCCCTGCACTGTCATCCCTTTGGAGGCAAACATACCAGATAACTTCCCATTGAAGCGCCGCATCGGCACGTACACGTACCACCCGACTGGGCCTCACCAATCCCGCGCACTACGAGCCCGTTTATTTTACTGTCTGTGCCCGGTCGGCCGGTGGCCCCGGGGCGCCCCGCAGCGCGCGGCGGCGGCGGTGGTGGCCGTGCGGCCCGCCGCGCCGCACCAGTGGGACGTGATGCGCGGTTCTGGCGACGGGCCCTGGAGCCGAGGGTGAGCCACGGATCGCCATCACACGGTAATTTGCAAGCGTCCGCGCGGACTGGCTACAGAGGTCCTGGCCTAGGAAGGCAGCGCTCACCGCTGCCTTGTCCTCAAGGTGGGTCGGAATTGAACCCGTTTGACCGTGTCGTCGCATAAAAAGTCATGACTTTGCCGCTGCCACACTCCCCAACATTTGTGTTTTGTGCAGTAGGCTCATTTGTGCAGCTGCCGTTTGGCCAGCAACGGACTCCTGGTGTATGCTGAGTTGCCGACTGGCTAGCAACAGACCCCTGGTGCCTACTGAGCTGCCGGCTTGCTGGCAACAGACCCCTGGTGCCTGATGAGCTGCCGGTTGGGTGGCAACAGACCCCTGGTGCCTGATGAGCTGCCGGCTGGATGGCAACAGACCCCCGGCTCCTGATGAGTTGCCGACTGGCTGGCAACAGACCCCTGGTGCCTGCCGAGCTGCCGGCTTGCTGGAAACAGACCCCTGGGGCCTGCTGAACTGCTGGCTGGCTGGCACCACACCCGTGGTGCTTGCTGAGCCGTCGGCTGGCTGGCATCAGACCCCTGGTGCCTGCTGAGCTGCCGGTTGGCTGGCAACAGACTCCTGATAACTGCTAAGCTGCCGGCTGGCTGGCATCCGACCCCTGGTGCCTGTTGAGCTGCCGGCTGGCTGGCACAGACCCCTGGTGCCTGCTGAGCTGCCGGCTGGGCGGCTTAACTACGCGTTCAAAGCCCCAAACCCCTAAGCATAACTCCGAGACGTCTCAGTTGAGTCATGTCCAGCGTAACTCCGAAACGGCTCAGTTGAGCCATGTCCAGCGTAACTCCGAAACGGCTCAGTTGAGCCATGACCAGCGTAATCCTGAGACGGTTCGGCATGAAACCGTCATCACAATAACAGAGAGCTGTCGCTGGCGCCGCGTTGATGAGAGCTTCTGAAGCCCAATGGCCGCTGCAACAGCTTCATAAATCTTCCGTTTCGGGGAGCTGACCGCTCGGAATTGTGGCCGCTCGGATGTTGGTGGCAGTCAGGTGCAATGGCTCATGTAATGGCAAGGTTCCAGTGGTGGCGTATACGGCAGCGCTGGCGGCGGTGACTGGTGCAGATACGTCCATAACTCGCGTCGGCTGGCACGCACGCTTACGTAGTTCATGGAAGCTAGTTCACACAAGCGCACCGTTCATTGCCAGTCCACCCATTCGCTCGAGTCATGCCGGTTCCCGGCAGCGGTGGCAACGACAGCGGCGGCGGCGGCGACGGCGACGGCGACGGCGATGGCGACGGTGGGAGAGAACGGGCCCTGTGCGACAGCCGAGCGCCGCTCGCCGGCCTTGGAGCCCGTTCGGCGAGAGTGCTGTGCGCCTGACCCAGTCCGGGCCGGGTTTTTGTCGGTCATCGGTCACCCGTGTCTGCGTGCCGGAGTCAGTGACGAGGTCAGGCGCCGGCTGGCCGCCACTGGCAGCCCAACAGCGACTGAGACCGGCAGCCGGAGGGTGTGTTCCATCGGTATCGGGCTGACTCGTCAGCAGGCGCCAGCTGGGTGGAGGCTGGCCGCTGCACAGGCCCGGGAACTGACGGACGATGGCTGATCCCCGTCGGCAGGCAGTGGTATGACATCCCAAAGAGCGTGGCGTCGCTGTAAGCCGCTGCAAAGCCACCGCCCGTCATCGCGCTAGAAAGACTCCCAGGTCACGCAAAAACTGAGTACGGTAAAAAGGACGGTGCGTGCGGGGTGCGGCCGTGTCGTCCCGTCTTTGTGAGCGGTCGTTGGCGTCTCGCGCGAGGCTGGCGTCGGGGGCAACTATTCCTGTCGCCGCTGTCAACAGGGCGGCGCTGGCGACGGGCGCGGTGCGCGTCTGGGCACGAGCCGTGTTCGGTGAGAGATGGAGAGGCGTGGGGGGAGGGGCGGCGGGCACGGACGAACGGATGGGCAGGTGTGTGCCGGCAGCGCCCCAGGAGGCGGCTGAGACCAGGGAGTAGGACTCCGAGTCCTGAACCCTCTTAGCCTTCGGTACGTGCCGGCGCGCCTCAGGAGAGGGAGGCGGCTGGGGACCAGGGAGTAGGACTCCGAGTCCTGAACCCTCCGAGCCTTCGGTACGTGCCGGCGCGCCCCAGGAGGCGGGCTGGGGACCAGAGAGTAGGACTCCGAGTCCTGAACCCTCCGAGCCTTCGGTACGTGCCGGCGCCGCCTCAGGAGGCGGCTGGAGACCAGAGAGTAGGACTCCGAGTCCTGAACCCTCCGAGCCTTCGTTACGTGCCGGCGGCCCCAGGAGGCGGCTGGGACCAGAGAGTAGGACTCGAGTCATGAACCCTCCGAGCCTTCGGTACGTGCCGGCGCGCCTCAGGAGGCGGCTGGGACCAGAGAGTAGGACTCCGAGCCCTGAACCCTCCGAGCCTTCGGTACGTGCCGGCGCGCCTCAGGAGGCGGCTGAGACCAGAGAGTAGGACTCCGAGTCCTGAACCCTCCGAGCCTTCGGTACGTGCCGGCGCGCCTCAGGAGGCGGCTGAGACCAGGAGTAGGACTCCGAGTCCTGAACCCTCCGAGCCTTCGGTACGTGCCGGCGCGCCTCAGGAGGCGGCTGAGACCAGGAGTAGGACTCCGAGTCCTGAACCCTCCGAGCCTTCGGTACGTGCCGGCGCGCCTCAGGAGGCGGCTGAGACCAGGGAGCAGGGCTTCGAGTCCTGAACCCTCCGAGCCTTCGGTACGTGCCGGCGCGCCTCAGGAGGCGGCTGAGACCAGGGAGCAGGGCTTAGCTGCAGTTCTGAGCCTTCCGAGCCCTTCGGCGCGTGTCTCAGCTCTCGCGGCGACTGAGTGCTGAGCTAGTCAACGAAGACTCCTCGAGACCGACGTGGGGACCGGAACCAGTGATGTGTGGACAAACGCGGTGAGACGGTGCGACACGCGCTATCGGGGCGGCGATGACGTGCAGGTGGCCCGATAAAGATCCAAGGCGAGCTGCGCCCAGCCCCCTTACCGCGGGCAGACGGTACCGCCAGGCATTTTCAGCCGAAAACGGCCAGGCCGGCGCCACGCCATAGAGCCATATAAGGCGTGACGCGACCACGGCTGGTCTGCGGGCGCCGTGACCGGCGCGTATGCGGGCGCTCTCTGGCCGGGCGGGGTAGCCGGCGGGGGCCGCCGCCGCTGACGGCGGGCCACAGCTGCGCCGGCATGGCCTGTCGAAGCCGGCTGTTTGGGTTGGAGCGGCGCCCGCCTGACGCCAGGAATAGGCGGCCTACCGAGCGGGCCGGGCGGGCGCCCCGCAACAGATCTGCCAGCACACTCCAGCGGACCGCTAACGATTCACGTTTACAGCTCGATTTACGGCAACGGTAGGGGACCTGTAACGAGGCCCTGACGTATGAACGGGTCACAGGGAACCGATATGGGAGCCTCACCGAGTCGCGAACGGACTAGAGCCGTGGACAGCCCGGTGGCGCCGGGCGTGACCGGGTCACGAACGGGCCAGGCGCTGCCCGTCGGGTGCAGAGCGACCTTGACTGGCCGCGACTGTTTGGCGGCGGCCGCGTGTGTCGCCGCTCGGGACGTGCTGCTGTCAGCCGCCGCTCTTATTGATGGCCCCGCTGGGCACCCGCCTCTGCCGGCCAGTGGCGGCGGCGCACCCGAGCCACGAGGGCAGATGGGGGAGGGGGGGGGGGAGAAGGGAAGACCCCCCCACCGCCAGCATCTGCAACCCGCTTGTCAAGCGTCGGCTGTTTTCCGCTGTTGGGACAGGCAGTGGCACACAGCCTGCAAAACCCGCCCTGTTTGTGCAAACCGTTGCCAATCCACAAAAATGCTTGCCGTTCCAGATGGCGACTCAAAGTTCAAATTCAGCATATTCAAGGGATTCTGGCGGAGGAAGCAGTATTCGCTGGAGCAAGTGTAGCTGCGGCCCGGCTGACAACGGCAGCAAGTGGCGGACCCGGACAGGCTCCCGTGTCCAGCCCCGCGCGGCAGCCGCCTATCTCGTGCGACTAACAAAGTAAAGGCTTGCGTATCTTACGTGATAATACGTCTCAAGGTGTCGTTTTGCAATATAGTGTACATAAAGCGCTTGTAATATGCACCGAGGCAAGCTATTTTCTAAGTATATGGATGTACGTGTGCATGTGTATAGTATGTCATTTAAAATAAACGGCCGTATCGACAATATGTGTACACAAACCTATTGGACCAGATATGGTGAGGCGACCCGACCTGCCCTCAGCAGTCTGTGCAGACGACCACCACAAAGAAGATCAGCCGGTGTACGAATGTATACACTTCACAGCATGTAACAGGCGTTCACATTGCCTTCCAGTTTCTTTTCCTCGCTGACCACGGCAGTGCATGTCGCTCCACTTACACGGGCACAAAACAAGTGCAACTTTTGAATAAATTTATTTGGGGGCCTTCAATCGCTTAGTACAAAAACATAACGGGACCCAGAATACATAGCTTAACGAAGATACAAAACTAGGCAAGCGATATATACTCCAGAACTGGAATATAGAAGCAGAACCCTGTTTCAAGAAGAAAACAACTTTTCAGATTAGATTTGAAACAAACACGTCGCATCCGAGCGAGTAAATTCACACCACACGGTTATTCACAGAAGAGGAAGCCTGACTTTGATTCAGATAATTATCTCGGGTTTTAACATCACTTAAGTATAAGTAAGCTGACTTGGTCGCCATGCTGGATCACGGTTTTTCGTCCGATTGACCTTGAAGGCCGGTGGCCTGCGGGATTCGACGGTTTTACAGCCCGGTGGCGCCGTGCACACACGCAATGCCGCCAAATCCTCCAATCGTACGCGGGCGCCGCCGGCCCGGGCGGCGCTCCTCGCGCGCGCACTCACGCACTCGCCCGCGCACTCGCACTCGCAGCCGCCGAAATTTAGCCAACGCGAAGAACGACTAAACAAGAGGCGGCGGCCCGTCGGCGCACCAGGCCGGCCGCGAGAAACGCCGACCGCTCGCTCTCACTTACAAAACAATATTACAAAACCGGGGGGTGGCGGGGTGTCGGGGAGGCGGCGCTGGAAGTGGGGTCGGGCCGCCCCCGCTGCGGCCGGCCCCGGCGGCAGCCGGAGGTCGTCCTGGGTCCTGGAATGTGACGGCCCGTTGTGCGCGTGCCGGCCGGGCAGGGGGCGGGGGGCGGCGCCGGCCCGCCGGCTCTGCGCGCCGACCGCGGAGGCCGGTGCGGCCGCGGCAGGCTCAGCCACATTGCGGCGACGCCTGCAACGCGACGACCGCGTCAGAGGCAGCTCACACACCAGACAGCCGCGCTCAGCGGCAAACCAACCACCACCGCAGCGCACCAGCCGTCACGCTAGCGGCCAGACATAGCCGGGCACGCATGCCAACCCACTACGCAAGCTTCACTTGCATGAAACGCTCCCCAAGCGACAAATGGAACGATAAGCTCGTGTTGTGGTAACATGGAATCATTATCTTATGGAGTTATAAAACAATATAACAGTAAACACAGAAACACTTTCGACACTTGTGACATGACTACGAGCAGTATGTTAATGCGACAATCAACGTAACAATGAGCCAGCGACGATGCAACAATGCGCGCAAATAAACCTCACCTTGGCCACTCACATTTAATAGCCGACGCCCGTCAAGTAATCGCCTAGGTTTTCCACGACTTTGGCCGCCTCTCCTCCCGTTACGGGATCGCTGTACCGACCGATGATGATGGCTGTCAAACGGAGGACAAACGTACGTCAGTCAGTGTGGTCACTTGGTCACGCCATCGGCGCAACCACGCTACGCTCACGGGCCACACACCCATTGGCTACGCTCACAGGCCACACCCTGCGACCTCTATTTCAGGCTGTGCTGGACGCGCTGATCACCTACACAGCTTAGGGTCAGACCGCCACCGTTCGAACCAGCGCCCGTTGTGTATTCATCTGTGCCGGTTTACCGAGTAGACAGCACCGGCTGGTGACGGGCCAAGGCCGGCCGCCGGCTCGGCGCGCCGCAGACAGCGCAGCGAGCAGGGCGTCGCTGGATTCCGGGGCGAGCGGCCGGCCCGGCTGACGACGTTTGTCAGACACAGCGCTAATTACGCCGGCATATGGCGACCGGCGCGCCGCTCCGACCCTCCGGCCGTCCCAGCGCCGGCTTGGCACGGCCGGACATGAGGACGGAAAGGTCTGGCACCTCCTTCCCCACGCACGCACGGAGCTCAGTAGCCAATATAATATTTTTAAAAAATTACGCCACTGTCTGTAAAAAAGTAAGGCTAGGACAAATAATGGCAGTCTTTCCAATATTATAATGAAAGAAGACCTGACGGCAGATCTGCTCTTTTCATGTTGCCATTTTTTCTTCTACTGCTATCTATAATCTAAATATCTATATATCTCACGTCTAGGCGACGTAACGCTTAAATCGAACTCTCGCGCATATTTAAACGTCTAACGGCGTCCCAATATTTATTAGATATTGTATAGGATTTTATTTTGAGAAAACTCGTGCCATAAAATTGACGTGTCTAAGTTGCATTGCCATGAACACCCGCGTGCGTGCGCGCGTGTGTGCGTGCGTTCACGTAAGTACATGCGTGCGTACGTGCGTCTGGCGCTGGGAACGGGTGTCATCACTGATGCGCGTCACCGATTTTGGATTTATTTTGGTGCGATAGACAGTGTATACTAGACGCATACTATTGAGGGAGCACAAATGGTGTAATTGTTCCAATACCACGTGAAATATCGACATCTACCTCTTTCTTATTCTCGCATTTAAATGTACCAAGCGAGTTGATGCCGACGAATCATAACGCACAGCAGAATTTCCGCCGCTTTAGGGGTGTAGGAATGCAATTTATTACTTGATTACGCTCTTGTCAACACTCTGAGTCTATGAATGCATGACCGCCTGTCACAACACCGTTGCATGCCAAAATGTCAAAAAAAATCATTTCAGCAGTACGGGGCAGGTCGCCAAGATCCTTGCGGTCATATGCTGGGTGGGAGCTTACTTGATACGGCTTTGCAAAACTGTCCTTGCCTACACATAATTCAAGTTAATTTTATTATTTACTTCTATATAATTCAAAAAACATGGTGCTGGTCTATGATACATGCGCACATCACAAATGTTGCACCGAGGGGAATGAAGGTTTGCCAAATAACTGGCTGCATGGCATTTCTCAACTGACATGGCCTCCATTCACAGACACATGTCAAATAATGCACAAGGAAAGCCTTCTACGCTACCAATGCCCTCTCCACAACGGAATCAGAATAATACGATACACAAGTGCCTGCACCAATAAAAAATGGGTTGGATACTTCGAGCATTCAAGGTTGTATTTCCTGTCTGTAATGGCTAACATATCACTCGAAATGCACCAGTCATACCGCAGTCGAAAATAACGCCGGAAGTAGGTGGCATTCTTACTTAACGGAAAACTCAACTATTTAGATGTATGGCGCAGTCCCGCGCAACAAAATGTCTGGCAGAATTTTATAATACTCCAATTGCCTCGTCGGCTCACTCGTGAAATATTGTCTTCTTGCCCGATGGTTCATATAGTTTGGTGACGTAAACGACGCAAAAAATGCCGGTGACGCTAACTTTTTTATAATAACAGCTAAAGGACGGCTCACTTTCGGACGGATTCGCCGGGTCAGCGTTCCCAATCCAGACCAGCCTCTACGCCACTCAGGCCCCTCAGACACGCCGCTGCACAGGGGCCCACGTCCGAGCCAGCCGGACGCCGTGCGGCCATGGGCGGCGGCCAGCGGCCGGCTGCTCGGCAGCGTGACGTCACGGCGCCGGCCGGCTACCGTCGCGCCGTAACGGACACCGCCGGCCGCCAACTGGGTCACTGGACCCGGCCGGGCATCGATCGGACGCGTGCGCGGCGGCCGTGGCCCGGCGTCCAATCGGTCGGCCGATTAGCGTCGTCTGAACGATATGCGTCTGGGAGCGGACGACTTTCACAGCGCGACCAGACGACCGCCGACCATTGGAACAGCTGGATGTGCGTGGACTACCACCCAGAAAGACGACATGCTGCTAATGCATTTTGTCTCACACTGTGCATGAATCCGGTTCTGTATGAAAGCAGCTTGCCCACATGTGAGCAGCTCCCATGCGAATGGCTCCACGATCCCGCAACAGGAAACAGGTAAAAAATGCTACCAGGCATTACGGTGTAACAAAAAAGGAGTATCCTACAACAATGCATACAACTTTTTTTTACTAAAACGCCTCAAACGATATCATGCACAGTAAAATGTCACAAAAATTGTCTAAATTTAGCACAACGCTCCTGGCCATAACTTGGAATACTGCCTCGAGAGCTCTGGAGAAAATCATATGACCCTTATATGTCGTAAAACGATACTATGGAGCCCTAGAGTCGGACTTCGTCGGAGAGTTCCAGAAAGTACAAACTAATCGTTATTTAAGACAACACGGGTGGGCGAAGGAAAAAAAAGAAAATTGAGCATCTGCTTGCAGTGGAAAATCCTAGACAACACATAAGGACGCTCATATAACACTTATTGGCGTACATATAGCTTATCCAGTTCTCTATCCAGTTTCATCTAGTTCTAATTGGTAGTCCTAAACGTAACTTACAGAGCATCACACTCAAGGATCACTTTTTTCTAGCTATTTCACGAATCATGACAACAGCATAGTCGACTTAAGACATCACAAAGCGTACATTTGCGATGTTAATTAGCTCAAAGATGAATCATACCAGCTGGTTACCGTGACTTGTCATGCTGAACACGCGTGCCCCTCCTCCCCCCCCCCCCCCCCCTCCGCCTTCACCGGTGCGGTGCGCATGGGATGTGCAGACGGCGGCGCTGCATTTTGGTGACATACGCTCCCATCCCACCCAAAAAGTCGTCTGGCCTACAGCCGTCGTCCCCGCCCTTGTCACGTGTGCGGTGCGCGTTCACCGACCTACACCCGGCTGTGTGCGGCTGGCCCGCCCGCGCCGCCACTCACCCTGCTTGGTGAGACAGACGTGCACGCCCGACTTCTGGCCCTTGGCCTTGCCCCGGATCACCTTGCCCGGGATGCTGGAGAGGTAGACGTACTTCATGTCGCCTATACTGAAGCCGTTGGTGGTAACCAGGTCCGAGTTGTCCATCGCCTGCACCAGCGTCTTGATCTGCTCCGGCTGGGCCTGTGGAGCAGCGGTGGGTCAGCCGGGCCGGCCCACTTGACCCCGGTCGGGGACCAACCGAAACGGGCAGGCGGCCTGCCAGTACCTGTTGGTCGGAAAGGTTGTTCGCTGCTCGCTGCGCACAGCCAGCTGTCCGCAGCTGGTCTGCCGTCATTGGTTTGTGTGTATGTGTGTGGGGGGGGGGGGGGGGGGACGCAGAGCAGCATGCTTCCATCCTACAACGGAATGACTGCTCGCCGTACGTCTTGATAGCGCGACCAACTTCATTCTACATCTGCAAACCATGAGAGTTGATGGAAAAAGGCATCATTATTGTTTTAATGGGGTCCATGGTGCACTTCATACCAGATTGCACAGCTCTTGAGGAATTAAGAAAACCACACGAGTCATCTGTGTGGAACTGCAATATGCGAAAAACATGCCAGTTTCACGCACGTCTTACCTGTTGAAACTAAGCCCAATGCGTACCTACACGTGCAGGCGGTCGGACCTATCGTGCTATCTCAAGCGCTTCATTTACTCCACCAACTCCTTCAATACCAATAGCACGCAGGTTAGGGGCCGAAAAACGGCGTTCACGATTGTATTCGTTCCACTAGAAGACCTTGTTGAAGGCAGTGTTCGACCTTCAAGGCATCTTTCCAAATTATACTCCAGTAAAACCTTAAGACGAGTGATATCTGATAGCATTGGGTAGTGCCACTGCAGCGCCGTCAAAACATAATACGGATGCCAATTTGCATCTACTCCAGCTAAACCAAAAGGCGAGTGATATATAATAATAGTACTGGGTAGTGTCACTGCAGCACCGTGAAAACATAATAAGGATGCTAATTTGTATAATTTTCGAGTCCAAAGTATGCGGTCAGCGCCTCGCCACAGCATTACGCTTCTTTCCTACAGTCGCGACACCACCGCCATGACCACCGAGCGCACGTCTACTGGTGCGAATAAAGGAACGTTTGTGATTTGCCTAGCGGGCGACAAGAGCCTGCTACTAAAAGCGCACTGATTGCAATTTGAGCCGGAGTCTCACTATGGACCAGGGTATCACTTCTTACACTTTCGGGGGGGGGGGGGGTCTGAGACCCCCCAATGCTGCTGACATGAGCCCCCTTAATACTCCTCTGAGACCCCTCCCCCCCCCCCCCCCAATGCACATGAGCAAAGGGAATACTGAGCCAAATAAAGACCAAACAATTTGCTCACCTTCTGGTAATTATCTATTAAGCTATCTTAATAACTGATCATCCCAAGAGCAACTCGTGGCACTTGTACTCGTGTTGGTCAATTGATGAATGGTATACTGCCATCACATCGTCATAAGAAAAGAGAAGCCCGCATGGTGATGGACATCTGCGCGCGTGAACGCTTCAATGGCGGTATGTGCATGTGACGTGTGTGCTTCCCCGGCAGCCACTTTGAGTGGGTGGCATCAACTAGACTTCTGGCGAGTCAAGGCGGAATCACGTGTGTTCAACCCATTCAAGTTGCAGTCATAATTGAGTTAGCTGCATGCGATCTAATTTTCGGAGCCAGTTGATGCAAAATCCAAATGTCTAGAAGCCACCCATGGTGATGTTCATAGACATGCCATGGAAGGAGTATCAAGAACATTGTCCATGGCCGATAGGCACCACGATAACAGCATTGTCACTCTTTACGGCAGTGGGTACCTGAGTGTTGCTGATTACACTTGACTGCCTCCAGTAATGAGGCTTCAGGTACAAAGCTTTTTTGATGCTGGATTCGCGACCCGGCTGCCTTCAACACTGGTGCACACAAAATGCCAACGAGCCTCCCACTAATCATGCCAAATGGCGAGTAACAGAACGTAAGCACAGTATTTGGCGAAAGACGAGCGCACCCCAAATGACCCTATGTCTCACCGCTGGGCAGTTGATAATTCATTCAAACGTGACTAGCAAATACGAGCTCCTCCGTACGCCATTTCAACACCATCTTTCTTGTGAATCCGAATCCCTCCAAGAGCTGACGATAAAAACCAACCTTTGGTAACCTCTGTGCGTTGGTTGTCCTTCGGTGCTTTGAAACCGCTTGGACGGTTTGGTAATCAGTGCTTTCCTGTGGCTTTCCTTCTGGCTTAGTACCAAATTATGGCATGCATATAGCAGCGAGCATTGTGCTAGAAAGGTGCGTAGCTTGCAGATAAGGTCTCCGCTACCGAGAACTACTGGTTTGCTGTCATGGACTCCACACACATTCGAGGGTCATACTCTCCGGCAGAGGGGCTGAGGACCTCCAAACGTAACACGAAACGACGCCCCTTGGTAACAGGCCACAACGGTGATTTCAAAGCTTACGACATCAATGGCATTGTATGTCCACAAAGGATCACTGAGCTTACGTTTGTAACACGTTGACCGAAGAAAGGAACTGAAGATTTCCTGCACGAAGCCACACAGTACGCACCTCCAACCAGACATGTGCCTGGAGCACCGCCCCCCCCCCCCCCCCCCACAAAAATCCTACGACACCCCTAACATGGAACACTGCAAGATCCTGCATCAAACCCTTGGTATCCTGACACATGCGTCCTTCCCATTTCACATTATCCATTAAAAAATACTGAGCTTAAGCTCAAAGGTGACAGCTTGCTTACACATGGTGAGGCAGAAAACTGGCAACCGGCCAAGCTGATGTAATGCATATCACTACATGGTGTTACGATGTCCGAGTCATGCTTTAAGCCTTTGGAATTTTGAGGCGCAATGAAACTTACACTTACACACGAAACTACCTACATAAACCCTATACTTCAACTGAGTATGCTTCGCTGTCTAATGGACGAATACCATGGGACCAGGACAGACATGAGCTGCATGACATAATTTTCTACGACTTGCTTGATTTATCTTAAAAAAACGCACGTTTGGCACCCCACCGGGATTTTTCTGTACGCACACAAACACGAAATGGGCCCTGCAGAGGTTTCTTTTCCAGCAACCTTGCAGGACAGGTTAATCTCAGCGCCCAAGGGTCACTGAGCCCATTAAAAAGGCGCGTCCCATTAATTTGGTCTGGCAATTAATGAAAAACATTTATCCCGGCAAACGCACCAATGAATTGGAATATCAATTAGCATAGTTTGCAATGTTGTCAGCTACGCGCAACGAACCCCATTAATACCTCATATTATCCGCCGAAGTCAACGGATAAAAAAGGGATCACAGTGACTGACTCCAATCCCCTTTGGCTGGCATTGCTCTTGCCAGGCGTGGTACTTGTGCTATCTCGGTAAATTGACTGGGTCTATGCCTGTCTATTTCGCTCGGCTAGGACGTGCGGCGCCTCACGTGGTGTCCGAAGGTTGAAATGTGAGGCGCGTAAGGGTTTTGTCGTGTCTATGCCTTTTTGAAGCTAGGTAGATGTGGCATTACGAGGTGGAGCGTGAATAGCGCGATCGCGGTGGAGCGTGCGTAGGTGGTCGTCCGTGACACATTCGATGGCATGCTTTTGTATGCCATTTAGTCCTGCTCAGCCCCAAACTTCTTTTGCGATACTAAGACTTTCAGTAAGCGACTTGTGGGTACCTTTGGGAGAATCACGTAAGATGCTAATTGTTTACCGCAATACTTTAGAAGAAAGACTCGCCTAGATCCATGACATGGCAGCCTTTTCCCAGATTGCCCCCTCATAACTATGTACGTCTGTCATGAAAATAAGACTGGAACTGTATTGTCATTTTTTCATGTTTTCTGCCGATCTTTTCTTTCATTTTGTGCTTTCACACGAATTGCTGTATGGGAAACATGCTTCCCCTTGAAAACCACCTATTGTACTGCAGGCTTCCAATGATAAGCTAAATAGCAGTGTAATGACTCACGACACCCAGGCAATTTGTACTCCACTTTGAAAAATTTGTACTCCGCTACCCATTTTTTTTTTTTGGGGGGGGGGGAGGATTTCCAACACACACATTACACCAACGGGACTAAACAAGCGTTCGTGCTCCTTATTCAGTAGAGTACAATGGTGTATATTAACTATTTTGAGCATATATTTACTATATATGTCTCCCCAAATCTAACCACATCGGTCCGCCGCGCGCCTCCAGCAGTATCGTTGGCTGCTGTCCGCCGTCCGCATCGGCCGCGAATCGCTGTGCATTGCTCTTAATTTGGGCATGATTGTACAACATGCTAGATAATTATAAAAAACAAAAAACAAAACTGGGGGGATGGTTCATATCAACCTCCCCCCCCCCCCCAAGCAGGGCGAGGGTGAGTGGGGGTGGGGGTGAGAAGTCATCCTTCTTGTCTCAGAGAACATCTTTTGTCCACAGAATCAATATCATTGGGAAGCAGGACTTTCATTTGCGGTTTCCTTTTATCCACATGGTTTCTTTTGTTGTTTTTCTAAACCAGTTATTTATCCCTGGTACAGAAAGCGCACGCTTTAACATCTTGGTGCACACTTAAACAGCTCAGTACATGGCTGGAAATAGCGGAGTGCATGCTGGAGTTGGATGATCCCGCAGGTGCCTCCAGGTCTTATTGAAACAGGACATTGCTCGCACTCATTTTTAATTTTTAAATGCTTGATGCAATATTGATTATCCACCAAAATATGCTATACCTTAGACCTGCAATACTAATCACACCAAAACCTGAGCACACTTGTGCCCCTCACACCAAAATTGTAGTATGAAGGAAAAATGGATCGTAGCACCTGAACTTTGGTTTAGGATCTTGGGCAATGCTGATGAAAAATTTACAATCACAGCTTGTAGTGAGAACAAAATACCCCTGGTGAGTTTGCTTTGTGGATGTGACTTTCATTGCAACACCACTCTTGATCAGTAGTTCACAGCAAATACCATCCTCACTGTGCTGTTTGCAAATAGGGAGCAGACAGAAACCAATCCTTTAAATGTTGTGCAGCTGTTGCACAACTACACAGAGCACATAACATTTTGATTGAAATGTCATGCAAGCCACTGTACCACCAATAACATCTTGTGTTAAAAGTGGGTACTGCAGCTATCTAGCAGAAGGGACAGCATCTATTTCGCTGAGGGAAATGTTGGTGTTCTGGGTGCGTGGTAGATAGCACAACTATCTACCAGTCAAGACATATTCCACCTCACCTGAAGGACAGATGCTGGGGCAACATCAAACCCACCTAGGCTCCACCTTGTCTGGGATGGGGAGGGGGGGGGGGGGTGCATTCCTTATTTGTAAGAGGAGCTCAAGCAACCCCTCCTCCACTTCATGAAACAGGTTTGTCAAATTCAGGGAGAAAACATTGATCTTATTGAGGTGGCTATAACCATTTCCCACATAAATAGAACTATTATTTTAACTGCATAAAAAGGGTACACAGTGGTGCAGTATTTAACTATGTTCGGAGTTGGTGTCATTTATGACTTGGTTGGTTTTGTATTGACAATCTCGGTTGTTAATGATTTTCTAGAACATGTCTTTATAATATATATATATATATATATATATATATATATATATATATATATATATATATATATATACACATATGTATATTATGCCACATTCTTCCATATCAACTTAGGCATGTCATTGAGATACCATGTGGCAGCATGTACACAGAGCATTCCATGATCTTTCTTCTCCCTGGCAGCATGCATACAGAGCATTCTATGATCTTTTTTCTCCCTGGCTGCATGCTCTATCAGAACATCCTGGCCTGTTGTTTGGAGGGGTGTTCAGGGCTGTGTGTGATTAAAGGTAGGTGGACTACAGCATGTGGTGAGCAAGACCAGACCTGAATACAATGCATTGAAAGAAAGCATGCAAAGCCAACAAGCTTTTGTCATATCTTACCTACAGTATGCCTTTTAGCTATGCCTAGTGTGTCATGCAGCACTAATAAAGGTTCCATATTAGCACATGTCCACCTTTTGTTGCTTCCAGAGAACTACTTTTGTCACCCTTTCCAGACTATGTTTGAGGAGAATAAAATGCTAAGGCAAAACATGCCATATATCACCACTGGAAAGTCACACACTTCTAGATCACTAACTTATGGATTCTGGAAAGTCAGATAGCTTCTGCCTTAAGCAGAGAAATAAGCTGCCTGTGAGGAAGGATCATACCTGCCTAAAACCTTACTAATCAGTTTGCTACATTTTGCAGACTGGGGTAAAAGTGAGAAACCTGTGCCGATATGCACACCAGTCCACACAAACCCACCTGCTGTGACCGCTTATGCTTATATGAGTGGAGAGCTAAACCTGAAGCACACTTACACGTGACTCAGGTAAAAACAAACTGCATAGAACTTCCAGCATATTTCTAACCAGTAAAACCTTTTGGATAAGTCAAGTTGAAAGTCTGAGCATCATCCTTATACATGCCCTATGTCCTACATCCTTCTCCACAAATACTGTCTCCCATAGCACTGAAGTTGGTGGTAGCATGGCACCAAACTTGGGGGGCCTAGGCTCTCCGCACCACAGTTGGCTAAAATGTGCATGTATGGCATGGCTACAATGCATGGCTAAAATTGCTGCAGGGATGTTGTGTTTATGGCAGACACATTCAAGTAACTGGCTTTTTTCATGTCTGACCTGTAAAGCAAGGTCAGACCATGAGAACTGTATGTGATGCTGAACATGCCTGCTGCAGTACCTGCAGTATCACTGAAGAAATTTGTGTGTGTGCACCATAAACCTGAGCTCCTGAGCATAATGCACCATTGACTCAAAATCCAAATAATATTTCTCAGGATCATGATGCTTTAAGGATAATTTTAGGCAACAAGTTCCATACACAGTTTCAACACAAGATTATCTAAAACTTCAGCACAACCAGGATGTTTAGAGACCCATACTCAGCCTGTGGCCTTTCTAGACTAGTGCACCTAAACCTTTGCCTGCATAAATATATCCAGTGCACCAGACACCTACACAACATAGTTACACTGAGCCTTCCACCTGTGTGCACCAACTTAGGCCAGGCCCAATTGTGCTGAAACTTCACATTTTGTTGTTAAAATGTTTTTGAACCATCCAGTTTGCCATAACTCTGTAACATAACAGTTATTTGAATCACTAGCTCTAATTCTGCTGAAATTAATGCACATAATGCAGTAAACTAAGCATCTGGATTTGCAACACACACATACACACTTTAGATGCTGCTGACATCACTGCTACCCCAAACATGTTTAGGATAATGTGCTTTCGTGCAGTCCAGTCTACACACTCACATCCAGTCAATAATTTTTCAACATCACGCAATGCCCAGTCTGCAAATCATCATATATTTTGACAGGATCTCATGGAGGCAGGATTGAGGCAATTTTTGGCCAGTTTTGAACAGAATGAAGTAGAAATTCCCTAACCAGGGTAGGTCACATTATTCTGAGGCACCTCATGATACAAAGGACAGGTGTCTACCTGGAGCAGAGATTTAATTGATAAAAAAGCACCATGGAGAAACTAAAAAGCAATTCACAAGGGCAGAGCCAGCCTAAAGTTCAACTATGCCAGAAACTTGACTTGTCATGACACCTCAAGTCATCTCATGGAGCCACATCATCTTGCCTGGCCTTAGATGAGACAGCTCGCACAGCACCCTCATCACCTGATATCAACCATTGAAAATTGAGCTATCACACTGTGAATATAGCACATGAGCAACTGATTTATTCATGCTAGCTTCCATGCCAGCTGATTGAGTTAATGAGCAGATAAACCAGGCACAATAAGTCATACACCAAAAAAGCAAGTAGCAGTGACAATTCAGATGTTTAATTACCTCTATTTGTGAATTACCTTTATTTAAGGCACACAGATGCATTAATAACTGGAAATTTGATTCTTCAGATTGCACAGTATAGCTTAGTCCAATTCTGACTGATCTTCAACAGGGCAGTAGGAATAGTAAGAACTACACAATGGGCTTAAATTTCATCATTGGGGAAATCTTGGAGACTGCCCAGTCATCAATGGTACATGTCTTGAGCAGAAAGTTGGCTGCCCCATTTGGGGCATGATTAGACCTGCCACAAATATCGCATCAACTTGTCTACTACCTTTTGCAGACTGGTACAACTTAAATGCAAAGTGCTTAACTGCACCACGGATCCTCTCCGCCGGTTAAAACGTCTTTCACCACGCAACACCCTTGATGTGGCAACACCCATGCCTCGTGGACGAAGGGCGGCGAGACAATTGTGATGCAGCAATACTTACTCCTATGTTTGGGCTTGCCGCCCAGATAACTCCATCATGTCCAGCTAAACAAGCTTCATCGATGATTTTCGTTCCAATGAGATGGTCGTCTACGTACGCCTGCCAAGACATCGTAAAATGACCGGTGCTGCGATATCACACACCACACGCCCAGCCCAACCGCCTCACCGGTCACCACCCAAAATGAATCGCGACTGACGCGCCCTCTCGTTCGCCGGTAGTTCATGTAGTCTTCCGCAAATAAATTCTTAGCATTGCATGAACAGTATACACTGGATCTCAATCACCTTCTTACCTTATTTCATATTTTTTTGTAGCTCTAATTTGACATAAAACTGTCTAAAACAAGCCCAGTACACATAAAAGCTGTAACTATATGCTGTAGTACAAGCTTGTTGCCCGTAGTGAAGTCCACCGCCAATCTTTCCTTTGAGCCTGAACAAATTTGGAACGTTTGGCGTTTATTTCGGAAACTAAACGACTTATTGGTAAGCATGAAATGAATCCTTTTCGTAGCTGATTATCTGGAACAGATTTGGACGGTCAGAAATGACATGCATTTCATTTGGCAGCAAGGAGAAAAAGAAAAAAATATTATTTGAAAATATTTGAAATCAAAATTGTAACACAAACTCAAACAATCGATACACATGTGCAACGAAAACGCTATCCATGCAATTATATTGTACAATGTTGTGCGCAAAGATGCCATCACTTTAACGGAAATGGATAAAACGTAGTGATGATTCTACATCTTTTGTGATTCATGACGCAATGAATATAGTTTCAAAATTTTTGGCAAGATTTGTATTATTCAAGCGACAATTTTAATTTAAGACATTATTTAATTATAAATCACTTGTTTATTCATCTATTTCAGTTCATTTTATTGAAACATGATGAAAATTTTACCGCCCACGGCGTATGATTACTACCAAGTACTGCACCACTTCCCCCGCAACCGTCCTTTCGCAGCGAAGCGAACAACAGCGGCATGTCGAACCAGGATGTGGACAGGTAAATTCGTGTTTGTTGATCGTTTCTTGTGCTGAAAACATTGTGAATTGATCCCTTTGCTTGTTTGTTTTGCTGTGACAACCATTTTGCAGTTATTTTTCCATCATTCGCATAGTTACGTCGTAAGAGTGATGGGTAGGTACGTGACCCGGTGTCAGAGATCTACTGGCATTTGTCGGGTGCGGCGTGGTGGGCATTCATGGAATGAAGGTGCCATGGTAGTTGTAAGAGACCTTTGCATCGTCTTGTCAAGTCTGTCTAACGCTCATTTGTTCTTATTGTGAGTTTTGGAATGCACTTGAATTTGTATTGCTGGTGTACCAGTGTGGAAGGCTCATCAATCTGCTGAGCCCTGTTCCCTTGCGTCAGACTGGGGCCAGACCAAATGGTGGCAAATTCTCAGAATTTTTGTGTAGCTATAGGTTGGAAGCAAATATGCCTGGAGTTCCCTTTGAAGCATCACTACTGAAGACCTTGACTGCTGATGAGTACAAAGTGAAGTTACTATGTTATGTCAATTTCTGTATGCCAAGGTTTATGATGTGCTTGCCCTGAAATTGATGGGGCATTGTGATGCTGGATATTCATCCTGTCATGCTGGGTGTCTGGCATGCTTTGCTTTTTTGCAGTCTGGGTGAGGCCTGCTTTTTTGGATTACAATTTTCTTGTGAAACTCATGGCCTCAAGGTATTAGAATTATAAAGGTACTATTCTTGCATGCAAACATTGTGTTTGAGTACATAGTGTTCAGAATTATACTTTGTTTCATGCAGAATGATTTCAGGTTGGTGTTCAGATGTGTGCATTATGTCAGGCAGGTATATAACTGATTTGCTAAACCCAGCAATAGCACGCAATAGACTAAGGCCTAGCCATATTATTCTGAGTGTTCTTGTTATGTTTGTGGAAGAATATCAGTTACTTATAAAAAAGATTGCATATAATTATATTTAATAGTACTTTACACAAAACTAAGTTTGCACCATCTGAATTCCATGAAACATTGCTCTGTTAGAATTATTCTGAGCTGTGGGCCTAACAGCAATTTGGTTTATAGTATGCATGCACTATTTTCACATTGGTGCATTTGAAAGTTTATCATGACTTCATGATTGGGGACGTTGGCATCTAAGCAGGTTGCTCTATAATGCGAGGGATAATGTGAGCAGTCTGCTAAAGATTTGATAAGTCAACAAAATCTTTTGGCTGGTCTGATCTTGCCCTAAATGTGATAGCCAGCTCTGCTTGCAGCAGCGGCCAGTGATTTAAGGACTGGGGAGATTGGTTAAGGTTTTTTAGGGATAAGATATGAAGGTCAGATTCAGGCCTAACTTGCCATCATGCTTTCTACTATATATTGGCTTTACACAAGTTTATGGTGTATAAGATTGTTATGTAATTAACATGCATTTGATTGAGAAAGACTGTAAATATGCTTGTGGACTGCTCTTGCTAAGGGTGTTAGGGACTCATCTGTTAATGTTTGAAGTGTAATATCTAACCTCCAGGCATTATTTTGCACCCAAGTTTATTGACATGGGTGCAATACTCTGTGGCCCAGCTTACTTTCAACAGTAACATCCCATGTGTACCATGTGCCAATGGATCTGGACATCCCTAGCAATTGTAGTAGACATTGGGGTTTGTTCAAGCTTTGGTGACAAAGAGATGGTTATACAACATAAAGAGGTACCAAAGTGGATAGTTGGAACCAGTCTGATCCTGCTTTAAATGTAGCAATCAGGTTTTCTGCCAGGGGCAGGCTTGCCATCTGCTCCTCCAGCCCTCCCTCCCCTCATCCATTCCCCCACCTGCACCCCACCCTCTCAAATCAGGTAATTAGAATGGAACAAGATGGTTATCGATCATACTCTGCAACAAAAGAGTCTAAAAGTTGGGGCATTAGGTGCAGCTATCATTGTGATGTAAGCAGTTTTCACACATGTGGTTTGGCACCAGGCATCAGCTGACTAAATTTCCAAAGGTTGGTTCTAATTGGAAATATCATTTTTAACCTCTGTTGGCAGCTAAGTGGTCCAAGCATGTATCATGGCAATGGTACTTAATATTTTTCACAGCCTAAGTTTTTGTGGGATGCCTATCATATTACTGGGTAAGTCTGATGTGGAAAGTGTATGACATTTCTCAACAAACCAGAGCTGTGCACTTTGAGACCAGTTAACAACAGAAGATGTTGATGGAAAAACAAGGACTTTCATGTGTTGTACTTAACAATATGTGATGTTTTTATTTGTATCCTCAAGCAATAGACAATGGGATTTAACTCATAAAGTATTCAGGAGGTTCATAAATTATGTGATATTTTGAGCACTTTGTTTTAGCTTCTGTTCAGTTCAACTTGTGACATTGCTCCTTCCCCCCCCCCCCCCTTCACCACCACCACCTGGCTGTGTACTGCAATTAATTTGGTGGGATTGATCATAAAATTGATAGAAGTTAAATGCCGGTGTTTTGTGGTGACTCAGTTGCGGACCCATTTTGTGCTGAGGATGGCATTGGCTCATATTGATCCCATGTCGGGCTGCAAAAGTGATTTTTGGTTGAGTCCACAGGTGTACCAAGTGTGACTTGGCTGAAGGACCTTAGTCAAATCTCAATTATGTAGGGGTTTATTATGTTGTCACCATTATAATGTTTTAGATATCAATAGGTTGATTTCCTTTTGATGGCTCTGCTGTAGGTCATTGAAGGGCCAACAGGTGAATGGATTTGTAGTGGCCCCTCCCCTCACAATAAGATTTTGGAATTTTTAGTAGTGTCCTCCCTTGCATGAAAAAGTTTTACAAAGCCATCAGTGCTTCATATGACATGTGCCTTGAACACTATCATAGTGCATGTTTTAGGTACCATCTGGTCTTGCTGGGGATGTCAAATGGCTGGGCAAAGCTGGTGGTGGGATGTGGCACTTTCTGTGTGCATAGTATTTGTGAGCTGATAAAGGATGTATTAAGGCACTTGTAAAGGGAAGTGTAAATATTTGGCCACTTCTTGCTGTCTCCAGTTCTGGGATTGCCACAGTTAATTTTCCTGTAAGGCACCAAGCTACTGTCTCCAAGTCATTTGAGTTCATTGGAAGTACACTTAAAATATCTCTGGGTGAGGTTGTTGGTGGGCTTGTTATACTGCCTCAATAAGGGATCTTACACAATGTGTTTGCTATCAGTAAAATTGATGTCATGCAGTTGTGCTCTTGGCTTAGGGTTTGCAGTTACTGCCCATTGCTGCTTTCCCTTCCCCCACCTCCTTAGGATTGGCCATTTGGCATGGAGCTGGGTGTTGAGCAAATGAGATGTCATGGTTCTGGGGCAAAGGGTCAGTTAAGTATCAGTGTGTGAAGGGACTGCAAGAAGGTGAATTTTGACAATGCAGCTTTATTCTTCCTGCACACCATGCTGGATAGGTTTCAGAATGCATATGCCCAACAAGAGTGAAGTTGTCTCCAACTGGACCCAGGGTTCAAAATGGCCAGTATTGTCAGCATGCCCTAAAACATAAATCAACAACAAATCACATTGATCATTAGCAGTTCTCAAATCAGCAGGCTTTAAGACACATTTCTTGGGTTGGCAGGCAGCTGACCCCAAAGTTGACAAGTTGCAACTAACCTTGGCTCACATCCTTGTTCTGCTTGGCAGGAATGAGAAGGAGTGGGGGTCAGGTGGTGGAGGTGCCCCCCAGGAGCCAGAGGGAGGCAGTGGTGGTGGCGGCAGTCAGACCATCGAGTCTAACTGGGATGAAGTTGTTGACAACTTTGACAACATGAATCTCAAGGAAGACCTGCTGCGTGGGATCTATGGCTATGGCTTTGAAAAGCCCTCTGCCATCCAGCAGCGCGCGATCATTCCGTGCATTAAGCGGCACGACGTGATCGCTCAAGCACAATCTGGCACTGGCAAGACGGCCACATTCAGTATCTCCATTCTGGAACAGATCGACACCACAATGCGGGAAACGCAAGCTCTGATTCTGGCGCCTACCCGTGAGCTGGCTCAGCAGGTACGCATCTTTGTGTGTCTTGGTATCCGGTGTCCTGGTGGTACTTTGGTTAGGGCACCTGGCTTCCTGTTCACATACCCAGGAATGGGGTGGGACTAACTTGCTTTGGTTGCCCTTGGCTGATATGCTGTGTTGCTGGTGGCAGCAGCCCAGTCAGGGAGTATGAGGGGCTGTGCAGGGCATGTTTGCCACTGCATTCTACAGTTGGATGGGAATGTCACAATTGGGTTGCAGGGGTCAGGGCTCACGTACAAGCACTGCTCAGTTTGAGCTATAATCCCAGAAATCTGTCCATCTAAATCATTATGGTTAAAAGTTTGGGAGATTGCATTGGAGGTAATGATTTTGATAAAATTGGGCCCAAGGTAGACATTTGTCAGTATATTTGTTCTTTAAAGTTGGGGGGTTTTCAGCCAGGGGATGAGTGTGTATCAGTTGCATGATATCATGGAATTGCACTGGCAGCACTGCGGTTTTGCACAGCTGAAGATGAATGCCGCACCCAGTATAATGCTATGCATTCTCAGTTTCATTAGCTACATGTTTGCACTGTTGGTGAGGTATGACATCAGTGTGTTGATTGATTTTGGTCTTGTATGTATGTGTTGCCACCTTCCTGAAAATTGGCTGAGTCAACCTTTTCAGATTGTCTAGGTGTTCTGAAGTGTGGAGATCATTGTGTGGGTGCGTTACCTGGCTAACTAGTCGTGTGATTATGGAGATATTGCCCCACCCCCCACCCCCACAAATCTGCATCACTGACTAGTATTACAGAAATCATCCAGAAGGTCATGCATGATTATGCCAACACATGCATTCATGCTATCATAATCCTGGCCTGTTGGTGGCCTCTGAACATGGCTCACTTGTGCCAGTCTGTTACCCATTTGATCCCTAGCCCAGGCATCTGACCACCCCAGCTCATTTGTTGACTCGTTTTTTTGAGGCACTTAGATGGTGGTGTGACTACTACCTGGTTGGTGTTGATTGGCTGATCTTGAATCAGGAGATGGGTAATAAACCCAATGTTGTGGTTGTCCGACACCCAAGTTGCCGAATATTGAACAATGTATAGTTTCTTAATGCAGCATCACACATTTCAGATCCAGAAAGTGGTGCTTGCACTGGGTGACTACCTGAACGCGATTTGCCACGCCTGCATCGGTGGCACCAACGTCCGTGACGACATGCGCTCGCTGGAGTCCGGCGCGCACGTGGTGGTGGGTACACCCGGTCGCGTCATGGATATGATCAACCGGCGTGCACTGCGCACAGACTACATCAAGATCTTCGTGCTGGACGAAGCTGATGAAATGCTGTCGCGCGGTTTCAAGGACCAGATCTACGACGTGTTCCGCACGCTGCCGTCTGACATCCAGGTTACGCTGCTGTCGGCCACCATGCCGGCCGACGTCATGGACGTGACGTCGCGCTTCATGCGCAACCCAATCCGCATTCTGGTCAAGAAGGATGAGCTGACCCTCGAGGGTGAGTCCTCATGCTGGGTTGATACCAACTGAACTGTAGCTGGGTCCAGTGCATTGTCATTGCTGGATGGGAATGGGTAGTAATGTTAATTGGGGCTTCATGTTTTCCAACTGCCTGGGTTATTTCAAGATGGATTGCTTTATTAGGTATGTGAGGTGTGGTGGTGGCGTGGTGGCGGCAGACCCCAAGACTGATAGGTCCAGAGTTGTGTGCCCTAACCACTACCACTGCCAGAAAAGGATGCAAAGGGATCAGTAGTGGGACAAATAGCAGATAAAATGATTTCTCATCACCTATACTGACATTGCCACAGTTTGTCTTCCTATAAAGCACCAGGCCACTGTCTCCAAGTGGTCTGGATATATTGGAAGTACATTAAAGCATCTCTACGGGTGAGGCAGTTGGCTGGCTCTCGTCATGCTGCCTCAATAAGAAGTGTTACATGTTTTTGTCATATAGATCCATCAAATGCATTTTGGATGGGTGTCCTGTGCAGTGCATAGCATATATTTCATCTGTTCAAGTATTTGCCAGATAGTCTTACTCAGAGAGGTGGCTTTGGTCTGATGAGCTATGGTGACAGAGCATCATCAATGACATTTGGCATGCACATCCCATTGTTTCATGTTGGTTGGCTGAACAAATAGAATGCAACATTAAAACTTGCCTGGCTGGTGCAATTGCATTTTCTGCTCTATATACAGGTATCAAGCAGTTCTTCGTCCGCGTGGAGAAGGAGGAGTGGAAGCTGGACACACTATGCGACCTGTATGAGACGCTGACCATCACCCAGGCAGTGATCTTCTGCAACCTGCGTCGGAAGGTCGAGTGGTTGACGGACATGATGCATCGCCGGGACTTCACCGTCTCCGCCATGGTAAGGCTGGCTCCTGGAAGGGTTAGCAACCCAACACCCTGGTTGGGAGCTGTGTGCCTAGTTTTCTGTTCATGCATAAAGGATGTGTTAATCAAGGAAAACGAGATGGCTGCAAAAAGTAATGTCATCATGAGGCTGTGGTGGGGTTTAGGTGCCTTTATGTTGCCGCAATGTGAAGTGGATGGTGTGGTGTCATTACAGCATGGTGACATGGACCAGAAGCAGCGGGAGATGATCATGAAGGAGTTCCGCTCGGGCTCGTCTCGCGTCCTGATTACCACCGATCTTCTGGCTCGCGGCATAGATGTGCAGCAGGTGTCGCTGGTCATCAACTACGACCTGCCCACCAACCGGGAAAACTACATCCACAGGTGAGACTCCATATTGTTCGGTGTTCGTGATTGTAGAACTGGGGGCCTGCTGTGTGTTGCACTCTGCTTGCTGGGAAGTTTCTGATCATGTGAGGAAGTCTGATGGACACTATTGCCGCAGGATCGGACGAAGTGGACGGTTCGGCCGCAAGGGAGTGGCCATCAACTTTGTGACGGAGGCGGACAGCCGCGCGCTGAAGGACATAGAAGATTTTTATCACACGGAGATCGAAGAGATGCCGAACAATGTCGCCGATCTGATTTAGGCGGTCCCGGCCGTCCGTCCTGTCTCGCTGCCCTCGGTGATTGAATCGGGTGACCTCGAAGCTGCGACCTGACGAAGGAGTGAATAAAGCCTGAGTCTCGCCATTGGGAAGTGATGATCAGTTGAAGCGACGGCTGCTGCGGCACGCACGGGACTGGCATCGCTGTTGACGCGGTGGGTTCCCTGTGGAGTGCGCGCGTCTCGGCCGCCGGGCGTACATCCGCGATGTATTGACCCGGTCGAAGACTGACGGCTTGTGAACTGATCACCGTGAGTGATCTCGGTCACGAACTGACTACTGGTGCATCGCCACAAGTGGACTGAGGGGTGCGCGGCGCTGTGTGAGGTGGGGGCCTGCCTCCGTCCTGCACGGGCCGCAAACCTTATTTATAACTTTTTCGATTTTATTCTAGATAAGTATCATAGACTAGCGATTGTACGGCGAAAAGGGTTGGAGGCGCCTGCGTCCTTGGAGGGGTCTTCGCCTCTGCTCGTGCGCACATGGTGTTTTGTCCTGTCATGTATTTCCGTGTTTCCCTTTTGTTGAGTGTACTGGTGGCAGTGGGGCGGGTGGCGAGGTCAGAATCGGGGCTGGCAGCGCTTAACCTGTGCCTGGCCGAGGACGAGCGTGTGCCCCGGTCCTGGTGCCCCACTATACTCATGTTTAGGGGGTACTTTATCAGGAAAAGGGAAAGAAGAAAACGATTCCGCGTCTAGGCATGCTTAATAAATTGTGTGGGAAGATGTGCGTGTAGATGTGCGCTTAGTTACGGACGTGCGGTAGGTTGGTGCGGGGGTGCTGTCGCAGTCGGATCCATTTGGTGGCCAAGCAGTATCAGGGTTTCAAAATTGACGTCATGGTCTGGGTGCTGCTAGAACGCGACGGGACATTACGCCGTGTGCTGTACGTGCGGGGTGCGCGTTGCCGTTGCAGAGCAACAGGCATAGTTGTGCTTGAACGCTGGGCTGACGGCTGGTGATGCCGTCAAGACGCACGGCGTCCCTTCCTCCCCGCCCACCGATGACACTGCTGCCGGTCGGTGGGCTGGAAACGAATCGCTCATGTGTCTAACATGGTTAGAAACGCGCTACACAAGCGGAAAGGCTCTGCGAATTCATTCTGTGGGCGGCCTCCCATCGCTCGTCATGTGGAGTGACGGTGGCGTCTGGGAAGGTAAGTACACCCCCAATGTCATTTGCTCGCCAGCAGACGCGCAGAATCACAGCCAGCTGGCTTGGTTGTCCCCTCGATCAATTTGGTGAAGTTGCGCCCTGATGAGCGACAGCTTCGCTGTCCTGATGTACTGGTTGAACGGTGTAAAATGGCCCAGTCTGCTTTCAGCACGCGCCAGTGAAGTGGGTTCTATAGAATTTGCCAGTTTTTTCGGTTGGGAGCTTGAACTCCCCCCCCCCCCCCCCCTCTCAGCTGAGGAGAAATCTACGCATCTGCTCCCGAGCCGTTCTTGGCGCGTGAGTGGTTGCGGATGGTCTTACGGACGGAGGCAAATTCGGGGGGGGGGGGGGGGTCTGGGCTACAATTGATGCGCAAGGATGGCAAACATGTCCCTTGTATGTATAGTTGTCCTATGGTGTCGGGAGTAAGTGATGCTATTCTGGAAATAGGAAACTAGGAATCATAAAGTAAATATGAATATAAAAAATAATAAAGATAGGAAATAGGAATAGGAAACCTCAGGGGCATAAATTGTTTGGGCCGTGTACTGATGAGCGAAGACGCCTCATATAGCTGGTCGTACCAAGTGGGGCCCCTGTGGGCGAGGGTGGATCCAAAATTTCGGGATGGGGCCACGCCACATTGTGGGATCCCTACCCCCAAAATCACCGTATTTCAGCCATGGCATTTGAGGTTCTTGTGTATGATGTTTCATAGGTGCAGGAACATGTAAAGAAGTAGGGACGCAGGCTCAGAGTATGCTTATGGAACTTTTTCCTTGGAGATGGAGGCTATTGTTCGCTCTTAATTCACATGAAATAGTTTGGAGATTACGAAATGCCATGGCTGCTAAGCTGGGCATGCATCTACAGTTGTTCTCACTGGTGCACGGGTTTGCCCGTTCTACTCATGTATGCAATTCGACAAATAGGGCTATCCAGCTTCTCAAGATTATTCGTCCATTTCAGCATTCTTTTTCCTTGAAACGAAATGCCACGAGCGGGTGTGCATTTTGGGCTATTGAGAATGCATCTGCCTCCACAGCAGGGTGTGTCATGATTAACAAAACTAAGTGAGACAAAGAATTATTTGACGCTGGAGCCCACAGGCACACGGCATAGCAAAGGCTCTTCCCAAAAACTAATTCGTCAGGCGAGGGTCCTTCGAAATATCGCCGTAAACCGACGTTCGGCGATGCAGTCACCCAACGCTGGGCGGCGCCCGCCGCCGCAGGTAACACCAAGCCGTGGGCGGCAAGCGACACAAAATACCTTTGCGTAGAGAGGGGATGCTACCGAGTGCTCCTTAAGCCGTCGTACGAGAATGTTTCGATTTGAAGTCTAATATTTTCGGATCAGACATTGCCCGATTGACTGCCTTTTGGCGGAAATTGTACATGCTGTTGAGTATAAACTCGTTGGAATAGGCTGGTTAGTATTGCTTTAGACTTACACTTTTCCAAGACAACTCACGTGATGCAAACAAAACTATGCATGGAATATGACTCAAAATATTGTCCGGTGTACAGTTTAATACATACAGCAAGTGCGGGCTGTACCACGGAAGCAGAGAGAGGGGGGCCGTAGGGTGACCCCATGCACATCTCGCTTCTTGCCGAGCCTGTGTGGTCGATGCACCGGCCCAAAAAACAACTGCTCACAGACTGGAAACCCAAAAAGTGTGTTGGCAGAGGCCACACGGCAGCAGCAAATATGCACCTTCACAGCTGGGCTCCACATATTGCCGAAGCTCCAGCTCCAGCCCCAGACGTCCTCGGCAGTGCGACGCTGCGTCGCACTCCTAGTGTGAACCAGACAGGCCAAGATGGCCAGCGGTGCCTGCACTTTGTTCCGCAGCACGCAGCCGCTGAGGTTTCGCACTGGGGGCTGTGCGACTGGCCCGTGCCAGGGAATCAGTTCGGTGTACCTCACGGCCTCGAAGTTCGCCGCTGAGATGGCGAAGACCCTGGGCTGAAGAAGACCCTCGGTTTACTGCTCACTGAGCGGCGCGACGATCGGAACCGCCTATTCGCAGACCATGCGGTTCTCATCCCACACCATGTCCAGCAGCAGCTGTTCCGGACGGACCGAGTACACGTTACGCTGGAGGACTGGCTGCACCGTGGCCTACGTGTGCTGCGTAAGGTCGCGGAGCAGCGCGATGCTCCGGAACAAGTTGCGTAAGCCAAAGTCGCAGCCGCTGTTTTGCCGGATGGCGGACCACACCGACACGTAGTGGCCGAGGCTCTTGAGAGCGCTGCTGAAAGTCTCGGTAGAGATGCGAAATAGGGGCAGACCAGCGGTCAGTGTCAGCTATCAGAAAACAAAAGTGAATGTATTAGAACAATTCGCTATGAACTGAGCATTAGATCATACAAAAATTATTGTGCCTCTTTAGTGTATGGAACTATGCCGACATCCAGAGTCCTCAAATGTGGCGGAATACATATCAGCAAATATGCTAGTAAGCATAAACCAACCAGCCAATGATGAGACATACTACGGCACAAGGTATGCTATTAAGTAAATGCCCAACAGTGAGCACATGAAAAATCGATTGATACTTGATGGACTTAAGACACTCATGACTATAGGGTTCACAATTACGTACACAGACGGCTCCAAAACGGATACGGGTGTTGGTTCCGCTTTTGTGTGTGGCCCCGATACGCGATCATTTACACTGCCAGCCCATGCGTCCGTGTATACGGCAGAGCTTGTGGCCATCATTAAGGCGCTTTGCTTTACAGAGGTGGGCGAAAACAGTCTGCACAGGATTTTGTCGGATTCCCCAAGTACCATTTCGGCGTTAAGGCGTTTGAATCCGGCAAACCTCCTTATTTAGGTTATTTTAGCTCGTCTCGACTCTGTACCGGGCTGGCAAGACCATAGTACTTTGCTGGATTCCGAGCCACGTTTGCATTGCGGGAAATGAGCTGGCTGACGCTGCCGAAAAGCGTGCTACTCTTCGTGCCTGTCGCAGAGCGTTTCCAATACCCGCTACAGACCTACACTCGGCCATCTCTACCTTTTTGGGTGGGGAATGACAGAGCACATGGGTTACGGTGCCCACCAGTAAACTGAAAAGCATTATGCTGGTTGTCCAGGAATGTCAGCCATCCTATCGAAAGTCTAGACGGGAGAAAGTTTTCCTGCGTCGCCTGCGGATTGGCCACGCTTATTATATATATATATATATATATATATATATATATATATATATGTATGTATGTATACACATCGATACCTACTATGTCGCGACGAACTACCACGGCGTCGCCACTGCAACGCCACGCTCTCAGTGGAACATGTGTTCGTATGCTGTCCCATACTACGCGTCGAGCGTCTGAGGTACTTTGGCCCGGCGGCGCCTTCCCTGACGCTCTCCGATTTACTACATGACAGCTCACCATATATCGGACGTACACTCAGGTTCGTGTCGCATGTTCAGTTCTGCACTTTATATACACTTGCCCGAAAACCGCGTGTAGGAAGTCTAGGTTGCCAAAAATTTATCATCAACATGTTATTATGGGTTCACGTAATCGGACATGATTGGTGACGCGTTTCTGTCACGACTCCCGTTTTCAGTTCTGACTGATATATATATATATATATATATATATATATATATATATATACATATATATTAGTCATTCAGTCGTTATGGGAGCGGAATGATCACAGTAGTCGGCGCGCCCTAAAACTCCAATCAACAACAATAGCGCGTTTTCATATTTACCTGACATGGTTCGATGGTCCGATTCGCCGCTGGGCGGCCACGTTACGGACAAAGTTGTTTTGAACGCCGGAGGCCAGAAGGTGCAGCAGCTGCTAGTTGGTGCTTTGCTGCTGAATCAGGCCAACCGGCAAGTTTGGCACGTGCCCCGACCTAGGCTTGAATGCTACAACGTCGCTCTCCCAGACCTCCCCGGCACAGGTCTCGCCGATGGGTCCAGACAAAAAATTTTATCCCGTGGTAGTGCTGCCCAAGCTCAGCAGCAGATGGAGGAGGGTCAGCTCGTTGCCACGCAGCTGGCAGTTGAACCAGTGTACGGGTGACTCGGTGACCAGCTCAAGCAGCCGGAACATGTCGTCTATCGTTTCGGTGTTGACGGCCGTGCCATCGCAGCCGAGTACATTGATGTGACCGTTGCACTTCCGGCTCACGGGGTGTAGCTCGTTGAATAAGTGCAGGGCGCGGCCGAACTCGGACGTAAAATGATTCACGCAACGGCTGCCTAGCTCAGTGATGACAACCACGTGTTTTCCGACGGCATTCGTCCGGCTCAGTGTGGATCATGCAGATCCTGCATTCGCGGCCGTCGAAGTAGAGGATGGTCAAACCCGACTCGTGGATTGCTCCAGCATTTTGACGAGCCGTCTCTTTTCTCCCTCTGTCTCTTGCGCAGCAGATCTTTTTAGGATCAACGATGTTTGATTTCAAGTAGCCAGTCCATCTCTGCTGTCTTGTTGAAAGGCGATGATAGCAGCAGCGACCCGTTTTGAGCCACCGTAGCTGTCAACCGCCAGGGCGGTGTTAGATCGTTAACGTTTTAATCTATAGTGCC